TAAATCTTGCGATCATAATTAGAGAACGCGGTTTACATTATAATAATTAGGGTAAACTGGATATGTGGTGGTTTTATGATGAAAGTCATACTTTAATGGCACATTTTGGGGCTGGATGTGCCGTCCACAGTTCTGCTGTTAAGACTGCGAGTATAACAACGTTTAATTTATGTTTAGTTTACCTAGATCATTAAAGCGTTTTTTTATCATTTCGATGGAATTTTTGATTTTCTCTAAAACCTCGTCCTATGTGTTTTCAGATCTCCGTGAAGGCTATACGGGGTGACTTGCCGAACGCACCATAGAATTTTTTTTAAATCCCAATTATTGGCTTCCCTAATTATTTTAGAAATAAAGTATTTAGCGAGGTATTTAGGTTTTTTGTAGAGAAAAAAATTACGAATCCGTAAGTACATACCTACTATTGTTTCCTGTTTTATAAATTTAGAAACGGTAAAAATTTAAAAATTAAAAACTGTCGCGTTTATAAAGTCGGTAATGCCATGGAATTATGAAATCCAACAAAAACGGCTGCATTTGTTATTAGTTAGCTTTGTTTGATATCATACTGCCATGGCACCACTGATTTTCTTAAAAGCGCCAGTTTTTAGTTATCCAATTTCTTGGATTCAAAGTACAAACAATTAAAAGCTATAGTACTTATACTCGTACATGGATTCGTAATTTTTTTTCTCTACAAAAAACTTAAATAGACTGTATCTCTAAAATAATTAGGAAAGTCAATAATTAGAAATGAACAAATTACTTACTATTGAAATTCCTATGGTGCGTTGTTTAAGTCACCACCCGGTATACCCGCAAAATCTAAACTCTAAAGCGACTCTTATCGATGAAACAAAAAAGCTACAGCGTACACACAGGCTCGCATATACAGGGTGCCGATTATCTATGGAATATATCTCGGTAAATATGAGAATGTATAGAAAAATTTTCTATATGAAAGTTTAACATTTTAATTTCCATAATAATGCAGCATTCAGTTGTTTTTATTTCAGAAAACAAATGAGTAACGAAAAACAATTGAATATGTTTAAATAGTACCTAGTGCACCTTTTCCTCGACCTTTTCATTAGGATCATTTGATAGAGATTTTTTTTCTCTTTTCGATGTAATAACATGTTAGTACCCTTATTTAAAAATTTTTTTTATTATAATTAGATCAATAACATTAGTCCAGCTCCAGATATCCTACATGAAAATAAAACAAATTAACGTGGACGTTTCTTATTAATTAAACCAGTACAAATATGACAATAGGCAGGGAAAAAGAAGAACCGACCAAGAAAAAAATCAGCCAACAAATTACTATTAAACTTAATAGCAAAATTAGTTGTCTGTAAACGAAAGGGCACAACGAGAACACGTCGCACCGCTTTTAGCAAAGTATGTCAGTTCTGAACTGGCTGGCTAAAGCCTATGCTTCGATGTTTTCAAATAGGTACAGCTCCTTCCACGAATCGCTATAATATTTATTATATTGTTTAATTCTGCATACTCGTATTGAATATCATCCCTAAGTGAACATACTATATCTAAATATAAATAAAACACATAAATCGGTCAGTAATTCATATTGCGGGTTGGCAGGTAAAACCAGCCCTAGGAGCAAAGGGATACTGTAAATTGAAAACCAACATATTTACGTAGAAAATAACATGGAATCTTGCATTTAATTCAAAGTATGACCAGCATAAGTATAAAAAGGCAATTTGTATTTAGATTGGGTTATAAATGGCAGTACTCATGCTGTACGGAAATACCGTTAAATTGGCAAATAATATAACACGATCATATCATTACTATATGGATGCAATAGACGTAGAGATAAAAAGGAGTACGTCACTTTTGTAATTGTCAAAGCTGCACTCACTATTCGAAACGTAAGAATTACTTCTGCCCTCAACAAAAGCACAAATACATCTGCCTAAATTTCCCCTTTTTAAGCAAATCCTAGAGGAAATATCGACCTCGATATCGACCATGCTCCGAGTCGTCGGGTCGATAGGGATCATTAAGTTTTTTTTTTAAAATTTATTTATCGTGCCCAATTATAAGAGTGACCCACATAATGTTTTTTTGAGATGGCTCTGCAGAAGGTCTTCAGTTGCTCTATACTACTCCGGTATTTACCTTACGAATTAGAAAAACTGAAGGAAAAGCTAATTCGGAGTAGCCGGCAGAATGTTCGAAACTGATCTAAGGAAATTCCCATCTCTGCCACAGATTAAAAATTCTTACCTTGTTCCCGCTATGTAGCCCAACGCTCTACCACTGAGGTTTTCCTCAGACGTACGCAGCTTCTCATAATGCTACAATCTGTTCACTGAACAGAAATAGTGAAGCCACTTCCATTCAATTTTGTCCAATATAAGCGTCAGTTTTATACCCACAAAATGATCAAAAGCGAGATATTGAAAAAAGTTCATATGAACACAAGAAGTCGTGATAAATTTTCAGTCTCATTAGTGTCATGTATTCAGCATTGGTTATTTATCACACCACAGAATCTCATTTAATTTATTATTTACACCAAACATAACGTGAAATATCATTTAAAGCAAGTACAATATCATTACCGTAATGAAAATTTTGAAAATTACACGTGTATGTGTAGTATAGTACCTATAAAGAAAGATTCATTATAATTTCAAGATTACACGGCTTTCAACTCCTACAGTGATTATCAAAGGCTTCACTTTGATGTCCATTACGATCTCAATTTGCCACATTTTTTCTTCTTCGCGATGCGTTCCTCCAATTGTCTATGGTATCATTCTCTACAGCTTGAACGCAGGTCTTTAATTTAAAATGTAGTGTTGTTTCTCGGAACTTCACCTTTAAATTTGCCCCCCTATCAATTTAGTCTATGGGCCAACTGGCTAAATTTAAGGAAATGGTATAATTTGGGGGTACCAATTTTCCTTTTTACCACGGTTAGACACATGCATTAAGATTTAAAAAAACGATAATTGCCATCTCAAAGTGGTAGCTAATAGAAATGGCGGCCAATCCAAGATGGCGGATGTTGAGTTTTATAAAATTAACTATACCTATCTTTAGAACTATTGGTCCGACTTCATCATTTTCTTAAATGAAAGCTTTTGTGTGTGCTACAATATTGTCATAACTACATTTCCGATAAAATCAACAATTAGTAACTAATGCATGAAGTAAACGAACGGAATTTTTTTTAACTCTTAACATTTAATGAAAACTAAATTAACCCCATCGTTACTTTCAAAAGTTTCATATACACTAAAATCTGCTCCTTCTTCCTTTTCTTCAGTGACGTATCCACAAGTTGGCAGTTTGCATGCGCTTGTACACTTTAAGTTATTAGCATTACGTAATGGTAGTTGTCAAGAGCCAGCTTGGTAATTCTACGTGAGGTGATATGGAAGCCAAACTTAGGGTTATCTTTCATCTTTTTGCTGCTTCCGGAATAGCATCTCTTTGATTTTGACGTACAATTTTCCAATGTATTTTTTGTTTTATATAATCTACTTATGTCAAATTATCGGCACAGTATACACCTTTCCATCAATATTAACAAACTCTTTGCTGACGTTATGGCTAAAAGCCGTATTTGATCGTATTTATTGCAAGACAGTCAGTCTTGTCAGTTGTAAAGTTCTTGTTTACCGTTAAGCGGAAACGTGTGTCATGTTTTACGAGGAAGTTAGTGGAAGTGCTGTGTTTATCGAACAGGCGTCGCTTATCTGAAGCCTTTCTTTAAGGTTTTCCCAGTACTCGTTAAAGGGAGTTTTTTCACCATTAAAGAGCCAATTTTACATCTGTAATTACAACGAACCCAGTGTCGTCCAAATTGAGATACAAGTTCAATTAAAGTAGAGAAGTGAAGGTTTAGAAACATAATCCGCACATACCAATTTCATCATCATTTGTTATTTGATCATGGCTCTTCAGCTACAATATATCTATAGACGTAACTACAATGATTTTTGTATTTAGTAATTATTTTAATTTTAATTCAATTGTTTGATCAGCTAAAGCTGTGAATAATCGTTTACTTTTGGTTGTCTTATGAGATTTTGTGTATCTTCGGTTTGCAATATTTAATAAACCGAATTTATTTTTGCGTATCTTGCATATTTTGATATCCTTTGCATTTACATGATAGAATTGCATATTTTAAGATGTATTTAAATTTTTGTTAGATTTAATCGATTTTAATTTCAATTTTTAATACATTCTTTCGGATTTTTATAACGGACGCGATAATGAAACATACTGCAAAAGCCGAAAGGAAGATTTATTGATTTAATTGATGTTTAATTTCATCATTTCCAAACTATTTTATCTTTCTCTTTCTCTACGGTGATGATGGGTGATATTGTGGAAGGTTTGGAAATTGCTCCCAATAGTTTGTCCATTTCTAATGCACCTATTAGTTTAGTTGATGTAGAGTATAGTTTCTCTGCTTAGTGCTTATAAATTAATTCTTAGCGACAGGAGACAATCATTTCGTGCAGAAAACTTAGAGAAACATCTTATTGCTAGTGTTTATCGTAATTCCTTTTTTATTAGAAATTATGCAACATATATAATTTTGTATACGTGTGCATATATATCAAAACTGTTTGCATATTTTTCACTAATATTCTGCATAATATGCGCATAATTTTACCATTCATTGTGTATTAATACAGGCAGTACAGAACATTCGGGAAACAATTAAAAAAAAAACATTTTTTTTAATTACTTATTAACAGTTAATTTTATCGAAAAAGTACTAATAACAATATTTATAGTACATATAGAGCTTTCATTAAAAAAAAAGATTAATGAAATTGGATCAATAATTCCAGAGATATAGTTTACTTTATAAAACTCTACATCCGCCATCTTTGATTGGCCGCCATTTCTATTAGCTACCGCTTTGAGATGGCAATCATGATTTTTTGGCATCCTAATAAATCTGTATAACCACTGTAAAAAGGCAAATTGGTACCCCCAAATTATACTGTCATGTCGACTGGCCCATGGACTATTAACTGTATACACGAAACGAATTGGGGTATAGCCGCGAAGGCGTATAGTGTCACCTTTTTTGGACTACCAGTTCTGGGAAACTGTATAGGACAGCTTCATTTTTTCAAATAGAAACCTATCTATTCTTTGTATTGAATTTCTACATTGGAAAATAATAAACTTTCGTGGGAAACGTTTTTGCCTACACTTATCAGATTTTGAAGACGCTCTTCTAAAAGCGCTATTTATGAATTGAGCTAGGAAGCTGTTCTGTCAGGAATTTGGCACATTTTTTAAATTTGTTTTTATTACGGTTGTGTCAGTAGGTAGGCATATTCACACATATAGATAGTGTAGCTTAAATACTTTGATTGGTACCTATATTTTTTTATTGGAAGGAGTTCCTGAAATATGACTACTTAAAATTGTGCCTAACATGTTTGTTCTGTACAGTCACATAACACACCAACTGTGGATGCTCATGATAAAAGCAAACTGCTACCATTTCAAGCTTTGTTCAAATGTATGTTTTTTTTGTCTAACTTGAACCGAATCGAATATTAACTATTAGGAAAATCTGCTAAGGTATCAACTGCGCGAGATTTTTCTTTTGCTCTAAAACCGAGTAGATCCACTCATTAACAAATTCGTGCTACGTTTGGAAGTTTGACGTGTGGGCACCAACCAAACTGGTACCTACATATTGTCAAGGTAGGTACTTACTTTAGCCGCTGTAATCTCTCGTTTCAACAAAACCATTGCCAATAGCGTAAACAGTAAGGCAACGCGCGTCGTAAACAAATTAAACGACATGAACACGCCTCTAAGGTAGGACACTTTCGTAATAACGTTTATTTCCGATTTCCTGGCGTAATGGATGATTTTCTCGAATGGCTTCTCCCACGCGTACATTTTAATCACTTGTATACCCGCGACGATTTCGTCCATGAGTCGCACCCTTTGATCGGTTTTGTACGCCGTTTGCCTTCTGTACTTGGACGTTAACTTTCCGGTGTAACCTGTGGGGTGAAGCGTTAGGAATTCTGTTCAAAAATTAACGGCATTGTTACTTTGCAATGGGCAAATAAGAAAGATGGGAATCATGCCGATTAGACCGCAATAATCGGCTTCCTTCCATAATAAGTACATTACTATTACGGCTGTGGTTGGTGCGACCCACATGTGATGTACGAAAACGGAAGCAACGTCAAAACGACTGACATCGTTCGAGAGCAAATTTACCACCTTTCCAGCGGCCGACTCGCCTAAGGCCGTTCTGCTTAGCTTCAAAGCCTAAAATTTACTGGTTACTAGCTTGCAAAGACTTAGGATTGATGGTAACCTTTCTGTAGATCAGAGCGCAGCAACCAGCACGCACTCTCATGGCGAAATGGAACGCCTCCATAATGTACTGATTCAAAAGAAAGGTAATTCCGAGGTTGCTCACAACAATTGCGGTGGCATACCAGTACGCCTCACTCTTCGACTTGGTGGCCTCCGATGTGAAATACCCGAGTAGTTCCCTCAACAAAAACGGTTGCAGCAACCGAAGCACGATATCGTTGACCCCCAGAACCACGCCGAGCAGTAGGTATTCGGGCCAAAACGTCCGCACAAGAACTTTGAGCAAGCTCGGCGATTTGCGGCGCTTTCTCGTCTCTTCCAGGTGCGCCTTCCATTTTCTGGAATTGTCACGTTTGTTCGGAGAGGTCGGAAACTGGCGATACTCACACTTCTAATCGGTTGCCCGCCTGCGTGCTCTCGTCTGCCGGTATAGGATTGTATAAATCTTCAACGTCCAGCGTTTCCGAGTAACCGGTTTTGAAGATGTCGTAAGCGTATCTGCAAAAAGGTGACAAATTTAGGTAATGGTCAAGATTAACGAGTGATTTGCATTCGAAATGACATGTTAACGCATGTTAAAATAATTAATTAGTGCGATCCTATCTCATCAGTGGTCATTTTTGATGGTTGCGGCATTTTTGTGGTTGGCTAAAATTACTTTGTACAAGAATGTATTTATCATTATTACAAGGTTTCCCTGCAAAACAACTATCTACTTACTAAGTATACTATCACCGTGGGAGTGAGTTTTGATTTGATCTTTCTCTCAACTTTAAATTTGATGTAATTATCTCTTAATCTCATTGATGATAAATTTGTTATTTTCAATGTATGAATTTAAAAGGTTCGCATGGTCAATTCTAAACTAAACGTCAACAATTAATTTTTTATATTTGTCTAGTATTTTCAATTTTCCAGTTTACTTCGTGCACCTGAAGTTTTACGTTAACAATTATTTCAATTGGCTAGTTAGTACAAAATAAAGTAAAATTACTATACATACCTCCTTTTACTGCAGGTAGGTACATATTAATAGAGCATGGTATGAATAAAACCAACAACCAAAATATTCGAATGCCTTTTACCCTAATTATTCTCTTATTAATATAAGTCTAACGACCTAAGTTATTTTAACATTTTTGCAGATTTTGGCAAACAGTGCCGTTTTTAAGTTTTTCGGGGCCCTGGGCCATTCGCTCGTGGAGGCCCCCCTTACCCTCAATAAAAACGGCACAATGTTGGCATTTTGTGACCAAAATGACCGGACTTTTATTTTATTGAACTGTAAAGTCATTGTCTTACCCATGGGCAAAACCTCAGTGTAATATATCTACCCACTTTAGGCTTTTTGTCACTTATTAGGACTTTTTAACTTTCTAAATGGTAACCTTATACAGGGTGGTGACTTGCGTAACGCATCATCATAGGGATTTCAATGTAAAATTCATAACATGCGATTATTGGCTCCCCAAATTATTTTAGAGCAAAAATGTATATTAAAGTTTTTTGTAGACAAAATTTTTTACGCCGTCTTAGTTTTCAATTTTTTACATATAAAGACGGAAATTGGAAAAATAAAACCCGCATCTTTTTCAATAATCTGCGATGCCATGGAATTTTCTAAAACAAAAAGATGTCCAGTTATCAATTAATAGCAGCAGTTCGAAATGGATTTTTTGCGCGATCGGTCATTTCTGACTATTTACCATGGGTGTTTCCATGACAGTACGTAGAATTGACCAGTTACTATGATTACGACGACGCCAAAATTACTTACCGATCTAAAAACAGAACAGCAAAAATACTTACCGACGCCTTTTTAAAAATCAACAGTCTTACATTACATTTAATCTTTAATTATTGTTAGGTAAATTAAACCTACAATTTGTGCTGTTTTTCCTATAGCAAGACGCTCATAAAGTCATAAAGGAAGTGCAAAGCTAGTAAACTACATCAGACACATGCACATTTTTATGAAATTATTAATTTCAATTTTGACATTTAAACTGGTTGCCTAGTGATGTACACCATACCACTTCGATCATTTCGATTTATTCTGCTCGTTAATTTCTTAGTGCATATTTATATTGGTTGCATAATTTTAATTTCGATCGCGCAAAAAATGTTATAAGCACGTCGAACGTTAAGGGTTACCGTTCTCAGACAATAATTGGAGTCGTCGCTTCGCTCCTCCTCCAAACAATTGTCTTCGAACGGTAAAAATCCCTTACCGTTCTCCATACTTAATATACTATTATGATCGACTTTTTGATAGAATTCCATTTGTTTTATGCAGACATTCCATGGCATGACAGATTACTGAAAAAGATTGGGGGTTTTACTTTTCCAATTTTCCGTCTTTATTATGCAAAAAATGGAAAACTAATACGGTTGATTGACGTAAAAAATTATAATTTCTACAAAAACCTTAATACATTTTTGCTCTAAATTAATTTGGGGAGCCAATAATCACATGTTATGAATTTTACATTGAAATCCCTATGATGTACTACGCAAGTCACCACCCTGTATACAAGATCTACAGGATTTTAGAATTTCCGGTATCCCTTACTCTATGCATTAATTTTGTTTAAATCAGCATTTACTTTAAGGCGGCAGATTTTGCACTAAAATTTTTTCATTCACACAAACTTGGGCCCAGGTGGCCCATGCCTAAAAACGGCACTGTTGGCAAAACAACTTATACCTTTCTCCATTCGATTAATTAGCAGGTCCTTAGTCAACCACACCTTATATTTCTTCTTGAGCATCATATGGAATGATGTGTGTTGCTCACTGGTGAGCAACAAATCTGAATTATAGAAATGTACCATAGGAGCAATCCAATTATATCAATAAAGAAATGTTTGTTTTGGCTTAATGGAGCTCGAGGGTGTCCCAGCCCCCTCAATCGCGACGTTGTGGAGACTAAGCTACCACGAACAAAAATTGTGTGAATTCGACTATTTATATCAGAACGGCAGACTTTAATTTTTCATATTTTACTGAACTGGAAAACAGATTAAAAGTGAATAGGGCTCCGGGCTCGTAAGTCAAACTTTTGATAGCATAAGGGAAGGACGGAAGTGCACAGAGAAATTAAATTTACAACAAGATCTAATATGCGGACAGTACGTCATTTTGAATTCATGGGAAATTGGTTGAGCATATAAACTCGCATTAAAATAGATCGTTGACCATTTTCCATTGATCTTCTAGGAGCTGGAAAACACGCACTTTGTTAAGATCTTAATGGTGGGAAGCTATTACAAACATTTTTTTTATAATTTTAGTTTTAATTTACAATGCCAAGTTGCCATTGATTAACACATTCACATTAATAGGTTAATGAATGGTTGTAACCTGGAAGTCTGGACTTTACCTTTTTTTTAAAATATACTTCAGTGAATAGACAACAAATTTGAAGTAAGTATAATTCAGTATTTGTTTTTCGTGGGTGACGATTTTAGGTAAAAATTTTGTATAACTCTCAAGTTCACTACAAACCATCTGCAAGCTTGGATTTTCTCCAAAATCTCCACGAAGATTATCTCCGAAAATTTGAAAGGTTCCATTTTTGAAGAACAGTTAAATCATTCAAACTTCGATTTTAAAACGAAATTTAATTTGAAAAATAATGATTGTCAACATTTAAATGGAACAACAAAGCGACACTCTGTACGAGAAATAATTTCATTTGAAACCCTTGATAGCTAAAATTCAAAATTTGGATGGCTGAAAGATGCACAAAAAATCGTTGTAGTACAAATTTCGAAACAGGATTGTACCTACATTTTTTTGGAAAATTTAGCAATTAGTTTAAAATTTGTACTTGAAACTAATTTATTTTCCGGGTCGATCTGAGACAATTTTTTTTCGGGGCAAAAAAAAAGGCAGTGTACAACCTTCCTTTTTTCCAAAAATCGGCTGCACCAAAATTTCTCGGGAAAACACTTTTTTCTTATTAATTTTGGTGCGTAGAATCCAAAACAATTCGTACTTTTTCGATCAGACTTCTCAATCAAAAGTTATAGACTAGAAACCACTTTCGAAAGAAAATTCAAAGGGCTGTAACTTTTGAACCAGTAGCCCAATCTTGGAAATGTTTGAAGTTATGGATTCTACAGACCACGTTCTATAAGAAAAATTTTTTTCCGGGTCGATCTGAGACAATTTTTTTTCGGGGCAAAAAAAAGGCAGTGTACAACCTTCCTTTTTTACCAAAAATCGGCTGCACCAAAATTTCTCGGGAAAACACTTTTTCTTATTAATTTTGGTGCGTAGAATCCAAAACAATTCGTACTTTTTCGATCAGACTTCTCAATCAAAAGTTATAGACTAGAAACCAATTTCGAAAAAAATTCAAAGGGCTGTAACTTTTGAACTAGTAGCCCAATCTTGGAAATGTTTGAAATTATGGATTCTACAGGCCACGTTCTATAAGAAAAAATTTTTTCCGGGTCGATCTGAGACAATTTTGTTTTCGGGGCAAAAAAAAGGCAGTGTACAACCTTCCTTTTTTCCAAAAATCGGCTGCACCAAAATTTCTCGGGAAAACACTTTTTTCTTATTAATTTTGGTGCGTAGAATCCAAAACAATTCGTACTTTTTCGATCAGACTTCTCAATCAAAAGTTATAGACTAGAAAATAATTTCGAAAAAAAATTCAAAGGGCTGTAACTTTTGAACTAGTAGCCCAATCTTGGAAATGTTTGAAATTATATGTGAATGTGGTATAGACTTTGAAGATTGAAGTTGAAGATTGGTGTTGAAGAATGATTCACTGTGATTCAACAGAACTTGAATTTTGGAAAGCATTATTAGCTGAATATTTTAAAAATTAATTTAATCTTTCATGGAATTTTAATTACAGAGGTGTCAACCAAACAACTATCTTCCACCAACTACCGCCCTTCTTTTTGACACCTTATCAACAAAGGGGGGGGGGGGGTAAGAAAGTAGTAGCCCTGTATCTTCTAGATCTAGTGTGATATGGAAATTCTGATCACAGATTCAGATTCTCCAAAAAAAAAGTGCTCATAAAGGGTCCCAACGGGAATCGTCTACTTCCGGCCATTTTAGCTAGGTAAAATAAAAACAAAATTTGACATTTTCAGTTTTTCAGTGATATCTCAGTTATCTTTCAAAAATTTCAAATGGGTTTTATTAGTCACAAAAAGGGACAACTTTGTCCCCATTTAACCTGGGACCACCCTGTACAGTACTTACTTTCATTAAAACGCCATGGCGGAAGTGCTGCTGTAGTCGGTTTGTATAGTATAGTAGACGAAGAGGAACATGAAGCCGCCGCAAGTGGTTACTGAAGAAAAACGCATTTTCTCATGCAAAAATTATTGAATGAATTGCAGAATGAACCCAAAAATATGATTCCTACTGTTATACTATGCGATCAAAAATGAGTCGCCTTTGGAAATACCTGTAACCGATTTTGCAAAATTTTTTTGTCCGGATGTCTCCAAAAGTAGTCGGAATTTTTTCAGTTTCAAAACTGTATTTTGTTCAGCATCA